CCTGAGGGCGTGATTAAATTACTGTCCTTTTCCTGTTTGGATATAATAGTTACATTCATTGGTGGTCACAAGACATCACGAGGTATTTTCAGTCTTGATACAAAAGATCTCTGTGTTATCTCCTGATTGGATTAATCCAGACCTCATGATGGCTGATAGGGGCATATCAGTGTCCGTTCATGATAGAAATCCTTACAGTAGATTTCATCCTAAATGTGTGCGTATGCACAAAAGTTAGATTTTGCATACGTACAAATGTTTTTAGATTTATAAAGCCATGCGTATGCCAGAACCTGTGAAAAATTACCTTTGTAATACCCAGTCAGCGGAAGATTGTGCGTACATGAATCTCCACCCCGTCTCCTCCCCGAAATAGCCATATATGGAGCTTACAACACCTAGTTTTAATATGCATAACTGAGGCTGGGTATCGAGTTCGATACTTTTTAGGCACCGACCGAATAGCCTCGATACCATCGAGTATCGAAAAACATCTCGTCGTTCGGTACCAAATTTCGATACCTAAGGGGTTAATCTCATCAGCGTCAGTGAGCCAATAAGCCTGCAGCACTAGCCGGTGTGTTCGACTAGAGGCGCGGCGCAGATCGATCGTCCGCGAGAACGATTCGAAAGCGCACGGAGCAGTCTGCTCTCTTTAGCTCTCGTGGTACTGTACTGTAATACACCGACTATTTCCATGTCTTCCACCTTTTTTATGTAGGCTACGGAAATCACGCTTTCTTTCTCCCAGTCTCTCTCACAGACGCACACAGTGCAGACACGCACTCGCGCACACACGCGAGACGCGAACAGAAACTTCTTGTCAGCGCTGCCCCGTGAATTTATCAGTCGAAAATTTTTGAACGATACCCAGCCCTATGCATAACGTAATCTGTATATAATTCCCATGCATATTCCATCCACGTGACACCATGTTTAACGCAGTTAAGGGTACAATACTTTATGAAAATATGAGATACGTACTATAAATGCTTTTTGAGACATCACATTAATATGGTGTTTGTCACAATATTGGGAAGAGCACGAAAGGGGTTATCATTAGGCTATTTCTGTGTGTGACACCTGTGAACAGAGGTTCTAGAGTACTGTCATCAAACTTGTTCAAACCAGCCAATGGACTGTTTGATCAGCAAGTGCATCCTTATGTCTGTCATTACCGTCTATGTTCCAAAGCCATCAGACGAATCAAGTTAACATCAGTGATCATTATTCGCGCAAAAGTATTTTCTCAGAACATGAGTTTTGTTAGAACACAATTTAAAGCGGAATTGTCATGTGCCAAGCAATCCTCGCTGTGATTAAAACATTAAATCGCATACCACAGGAAAATTGTTCGAAAGCAGCACATCCACTGCAAATATTTCTGTTTAAATTCATATAAAAATGTTGTAATTTCTGGATAATAATTTCATGAAATTTCAGTGCTTAGCTTCATTATTGAGAGTGTCATATTTAATCTAAATATGTATGTAAAATGTAAAACAGACTTTAAAATCATTCTGTATGCTTCATTATTTCGCTCACTCCAGTAAAAGAGTGCGTACGCATGGTCTAGACTGTGTCCATACGGTGCACACATATTTACGCCTAGTTTATTTTTTATAAATCCCGATATGTGCATGGAAAATTGCGAAGTTTATACATCAGGCCCCAGATCTTCCTAATGTTGTATAAAGCATATCTGCAGGACCGGGCAGTTTTAGTAATGTGGTCTGAGAAATTCAGCGTATCATCAATCACAACTCCAAGGTTTCTAGCTGTTTTTGAAGGAGTTATGGTTGATGAGCCTAACTGGATGGTGAAATTTTGATAAAGTGATGGGTTTGTTGAAACCACAAGCAGTTCTGTCTTAGCCAGGTTGAGATGAAGGTGATGGTCCGTCATCCAACAAGAGATGTCTGTTAGACATTACCACATCAGTGGTAAATCTCCATCACGTGCGTGCTTTCACATTGAGCAGCATTAACTACACAGAGCCGTTGTTCACTGACGAGCTGCGCAAAACCACGTTCATATTCACG